ATTCTCTTTATTTCTGTGTCTTCAAGGGTACTGATTCATTCTTCCATTTCATCTATTCTGTTTTCATTGCTTTGTCCAGAATTCTTTATCTCCTCTAGTATTTTGATTTCCTGTGTTCCTTTTATTACCTTTTTTAAGGTCTCATTTTTGTTCTTAATTTCATTGATTGTCTCATGTGTTTTTTTCTTTTCATCTTCTTTATGTTTGTTAATCATGATGATTCTAAATTTTCTATCTGACAGGCTGAATAGTTCTTCTATATCTTTGTTGATTTCTAATGACTGATCTTTTTGTTGTGAATATTTCCCCTATGGGCTTGCTTGGGTATGGACCTCTAGTGGGTCCAGGACCTGGAACACATATGTGAAGTATAAACCAGAGGGATGACTCCTATGTCCAGCATGCAGAGAGCCTATTGTTTCAGTGCTCGTTATATACCATTTCAAGTGCTTTAACTGTAATTTCAAAGCATACCACATGACATTTATCTATGTGATTGATTACTATTTACATTACTCTGCTAATCTAAGGCAAACAGTTAGACGCCATGTGGCCTAAGTTTATATGCCTATCAATCCCTCTTGTCCAGAGCAAAGATATTTCTTTTAGGCAACAAACTGTTAATCATCTGCTTTTGGGAGCAGAGGGAAATGACTCTACACAGATCACTTTCTGGGCACTCATAACCAGGCCCAGACACCCAGAGATTTTCCTCCAAGGCACATGCATTTTTGCTCTGCCTTTGGAGCTCATGTTTGAAGCCTAGTGTGTTTACTGCACGGAGTCACTGCCAACACTTGGGTATTTGTATTTTTTACTTTTGCCTGTCATTTGTTTCCTAATGATTTCTATGTGTTGAGACACTACGTTGCTAGTATTGACTGGCATTTCTTCTGGGTGCTCCTTCTGGGATGTCCGAGGACTGGTATTCAGACCAGGTCAAGGACTAATGTGCCAATCCTTCACAAGGGTGATGGTGTTGTGAGTATGGTGGTGAGTTTGAATGCTATTCTGGCGACTCCCTCCCTCTGTGTTTCCACTGTTCTAAGGAGGATGGTGAGAATCCTAGCTTGTCATTGTGACTGGGAGATGCTCATTCTTGGTGGTTGTGGTCCCTCTGTTGCCTGATTTCGTTAGGGGGGTGGTTGTGCTCCTGTTGGCAGTGATCCTACCCCTGACCTTGTTTTCCAATTCAGATGAGTTACTATGTGCTAGTAGGGGCAGCTCTGCCAGTGCCCAACTTCTAGTTATGACCAGGTGCTGTGTGCTTCCTGTTACTTCAGGGGATACCTGCCTGTTTCACCAGGCTGCAGCATGCCCTCCTGTCGGAGACCAGCTCCAACTTTTGAGGTGTCTGGAGACAACACAGGCAGGACCCTAAGATGGGAAGGCGTCGGCATGCGGAGATTCCAAGAGGGGGAGAGGAGTGGGAGTGAGGAAGACAAGGGAGTTGGAGTTGGGTGCAAATCTTCCTGCTCTGCCTTTAGCAGAGGTTTATTTTATACATTTCCAGTAGGCAGGGGGATGGCATTAGCATACGAAAGGGGTTAAGATCACAATCACCTTTTTTCTAAGAAAATGGTCTGGGGTCGCAGGAAGAGGAAATT